CCACTCCGGCCGAAAATATCAGCAACGGGATATTCTTTTCTTTACACTGTATAATTAACTCGGCTATGCCTTCTCTTAACTTTGTGGGCGTATCCAAAAGCATCTGTTTGATATCATTTTTTGTGAGGTTCTGCCTGATTACTAGTTCATGGGCTTTACTCCACCATTCAACCATATAGGGCACCTTTTCTTCAACAGTCAGAGTGGTGTCCATTTCTATTGGGAAATACTTTTGATAGAGTGCAGCAGTCGCTTGCTTGAACTGAATTAGCGGAGGAAACAGTTAACTGATGAGTACGGGGAACATAAATGAAGCGATAAACCGAGAAGATACTTGTAATAATTTGGAAGTAAATTAATTTTAGCAGATCGAAAGCCTTATTACCTCTGGGCTCAACATACTGCCTGAAGACAGGACCTGATGGCAGGTTGGATTACGAGACATGTCCTCTCTAAAATGTCGTGACATTGTCGAATCGAAGTCTAAGAGTTGCAGTTTACTTGAATCAATGCTCATTCACTAATAACCATGTAGCATTATAGATTGCCGACATTTACCACTAATTACATGTAACTTATTTACTCCTCCTTCCAGTATCCTAGATATTTTCATGCGTACGTTTTCAACGTCTTTTACTCGTAACGCTGATTCATCTGAGAGTATCTTTGACATTAGATCATCCACATGAGAAGATACTATAGCTGACATTTTCTATATGCTTCGTTTCTTGTAAAAATTGAATAGTCGAAAAGAGCGTCGAGGTTCTTGAAGGCGATCGACTTTGTGTGATTAGTTAAAGAAGCAGCCGATTGATCTGTATCCATAAGCTAGTGTATCACAAGAAAAACAGTTATCTGAACTATATTCGATGCTGTCAAATCAGATCACATCTGGTCCAGAGGAAAATATTATTGGTAAAAGTCGATTATATTGCGGGACCGTGAGTAAATTAACAATTTGGGTATTGATATTACTATTAGAAATTAGTACCTAATTGGTATGCACTACGCCGCATACGCTGGCTATAACGAACTTCGGTCATAACGAAGATTTGTTTATAACGAAAATTTTCTCCAACCCAATTATAAATAGTCATAATTTTACCTATAAAAACGGACCTTCG